ACTGTGACTGTTGGCACACTTGTGGGTTAGTATTGAGCATGGACTTGTTGCTCTATTGTGGCCGAGCACTGCTGCCACACAAGCAGTTCCTTATTCAGGGTTTCCCACACTGGTCGTTTCGTCTGTAAATTGTGATTGAAATTTTTGTTTTTTTTTTAATTTTGCCCCGAGGGGCGAGTTTATTGGGCAGCGCCACTCATCTTGTGAGTGGACACACCGCCATAGCAGCATGTACAACACTCCCCAATAGGAAGAAAACCCGCTGGGTTGTTCATCCTGTCACTCGTACCCAGACACAGCTGGGACTTGCTTAACTGTCTCAAGTGAACAGCTCCTCAAACAAGAAGATTAACATCTATCAACCCTTAAAAGCTTACGTTATCTTGCGGGTGCAAAATGGGGAAATCTTTTAAGAACAGTATCAATATTTGACAAATAGTGTTATATGTTGTTAAATATGACCGAAAAAAGTGAGATTAATAATTCCAACACGAATTTTATCAATATTTCTTACGTTTCTTTTTACTGTCGATGGTAATTGAAAAATCAATTCTCCAAAATTCATTTTTATTTATAGTCTGATGCGACGCTTGAACGCGTTTCGTAATAACTTATTACATTTTCAAAGACTTTAGTTTACACACACACAACTGTAACCTGAAAACACTAAATAGAGTTTTACTTATGCTAACACTAAATAGCTTGTTTTATACACTCGCATTTGGGTGAGGTGATATGTTGCAACAGTTTTGGATGAGGTGAACAAACTTTTGACCAACACAAGACAGAACACGGAACATTGGTATTAATTGGATAAATGAGAGGGAAGAATGAAGTAACTGCAAAGGGCCTATTGGCCCATACTTCCTCTTGATGCTTCTATATTGGTTCAGAGTCCCACTTCTACTCACTTCAAGACTCCGTACCAATATAGAAGCATCAAGAGGAAGCATCAATTTATTTAAAATAAATTGTTTCCTATTGGTTTATTTTAAATATTATTATTATATTATATTAAGAACATAAATTATTGATTTAGTTATGTTAGTTTAGGTTAGGTTAAGATAGGTTAGGTAGGGTTGGTTAGGTTCGGTCATATATGTACGTTAGTTTTAACTCAAATTTAAAAAAAATTAGCTCATACATAATGAAATGAATAGATTTATCATTTCATAAGAAAAAAATTTGAAAAATCTTGAAATTCTGGAAAACTTGGCTTATTAGGCAAATCGAGTCTTGCATAGTAGGGCAAGAACTGCATTCTGGCTACTAGGTACGACATATATATATATATATATATATATATATATATATTATATATATATATATATATATATATATATATATATATATATATATATATATATATATATATATATATATATATTATATATATGTCGTACCTAGTAGCCAGAACGCACTTTTCAGCCTACTATGCAAGGCCCGATTTGCCTAATAAGCCAAGTTTTCCTGAATTAATATATTTTCTCTATTTTTTTTCTTATGAAATGATAAAGCTACCCATTTCATTATGTATGAGGTCAATTTTTTTTATTGGAGTTAAAATTAATGTAGATATATGACCGAACCTAACCAGCCCTACCTAACCTAACCTATCTTTATAGGTTAGGTTAGGTTAGGTAGCCGAAAAAGTTAGGTTAGGTTAGGTTAGGTAGGTTAGGTAGTCGAAAAACAATTAATTCATGAAAACTTGGCTTATTAGGCAAATCGGGCCTTCCATAGTAGGCTGAGAAGTGCGTTCTGGCTACTAAGTAAGACATATATATATGTATATATATATATATATATATATATATATATATATATATATATATATATATATATATATATATATATATACATATATATATATATATTTATATATTATATTATATTAATAAATAAATATAATTGTGTGCATGTGTAAGTCACGATGAAATAGCATATGATGAACAATGTGACAATGTTAGACCACAAAGGAAGGATTAAGAAAGGAAATTCCTTAAGTACTTTTGTATTTAATAGCACATCTTCAGAAGAATGTATTTACAATTCAGTGGTGTGGATATATAGGCAGGAATAAAGTGAAAAACTATGTCAATGTTCACAATTCATAAGAGAATAATGAGATAAAAGGACATTAATAAGGTATTATTGAAATAAATGTATCAATGGTCTTATTCAAATCATTTTATAACTGATCAATCAGTAATGGATCTAATTTATACAATCAACTACTAATGTTCATATTGCATGATTTTGTTATCTGTATTAAAGCAGATTCAACAATGTTTCTATTGAAAATGTTTATACAATTTGTTATTGAAGAAGCCCTCTCCCAATCAATTTGGTGAGAACTTTCTGACAAAGCATTAGACAATGGGCCATGTTGAAGTACTGAGTAAGCTCAGAGTATGTTGCTAAAATTCTAAATTTTAAATTCATATTGAACCCTGGACCCTTAGGTGAATATTGAACCCCTGTACACTCAGGTGAATATTGAACCCCTGTACACTCAGGTGAATATTGAACCCCTGTACACTCAGGTGAATATTGAACCCCTGTACACTCAGGTGAACATTGAACCCCTGTACACTCAGGTGAACATTGAACCCCTGTACACTCAGGTGAATATTGAACCCCTGGACCCTCAGATGAATGTTGAACCCCTATACACTGGTGAATATTGAACCCCCTAGACCCTCAGGTGAATATTGAACCCCTGGATCCTCAGGTGAATTTTGAACCCCAGACCCTCAGATAAATATTGAACCCCCTGGACCCTCAGGTGAATATTTAACCCCTGAACCCTCATGTGAATATTGAACCCCCGACCCTCAGGTGAACATTGAACCCTGGACCCTCGGGTAATATTGAACCCTGGACCCTCGGGTAATATTGACCCTCAGGTGAATATTTAACCCCTGAAACCCTCAGGTGACTATTGAACCCCTGAAACCCTTTAGGTGAACATTGAACCTCTGGATTTGTCAGGTGAACATTGAAACCCTCAGATGAGCATTGAACCCCTGGACGTGTCAGGTGAACATTGGACCCCTCAGGTGAACATTGAACCCCTGGACTTGTCAGGTGAACATTAGAACCCTCAGGTGAACATTGAACCTCTGGACCCCCCATGTGAACATTGGCCCCTTGGACCCCTTAGGTAAACATTGAACCCCTGGACCCCTCAGGGCAATATTGAACCCCCTATACACTCAGATGAATATTGAACCCCTGGACCCTCAGGTGAACATTGAACCCCTGGACCCTTCAGGTGAAGATTGAATCCCTAGACCCTTCAGGTGAACATTGAACCCCTGGACCCTCAAGTGAACATTGAACCCCTAGACCCCTCAGGTGACTATTGAGCCCCTGGACCCCTCAGGTGACCATTGAACCCCTCGACCCCTCAGGTGACCATTGAACCCCTCGACCCCCTCAGGTGAACATTGGAACCCTCAGATGACCATTGAACCCCTCGACCCCTCAGGTGACCGTTGGACCCTTGGACCTGTCAGGTGAACATTGGAACCCTCAGTTGAACATTGAACCTCTCAGGTGAACATTGAACCCCTAGACCCCTAGGTGAACATTGAACCCCTGGACCCTCAGGTGAACATTGAATCCCTAGACCCTTCAGGTGAACATTGAACCCCTGAACCCTCAGGTGAACATTGAACCCCTAGACCCTTCAGGTGAACATTGGACCCCTCAGGTGAACATTGAACCCCTCGACCCCTCAGGTAACTATTGAACCCCTGGACCCCTCAGGTGACCATTGAACCCCTCGACCCCTCAGGTGACCATTGAACCCCTCGACCCCCTCAGGTGAACATTGGAACCCTCAGATGACCATTGAACCCCTCGACCCCTCAGGTGACCGTTGGACCCTTGGACCTGTCAGGTGAACATTGGAACCCTCAGTTGAATATTGAACCTCTCAGGTGAACATTGAATCCCTAGACCCCTAGGTGAACATTGAACCCCTAGACCCCTAGGTGAACATTGAACCCTTGGACCCCTCAGGTGAACATTGAACCCCTGGATCCCTCAGGTGACCATTGAACCCCTGGACCCCTCAGGTGACCATTGAACCCCTCGACCCCTCAGGTGAACATTGAACCCCTCGACCCCTCAGGTGAACATTGAACCCCTCGACCCCTCAGGTGAACATTGAACCCCTGGACCACTCATGTGACTATTGGACCCTTTGGTGAATAGTGAACTGCTGAACCCTCAGGTGAATATTGAACCCTTTGGTGAATAGTGAACCACTGGACCCTCAGGTGAATATTGAACCCTTTGGTGAATAGTGAACCTATGTACCCTGAGGTGGATAATGAACCACCCAACATTTAATACCTCTTGCATAATGCATTCCCTAGCACCCAGTGCCTAATACCTCTTACCTACACAATCCAAGCAAATACTAAGTGCCTTCTGTCATGTACTGTCATGATCATTACATCATTTATATAAATGGTCTACCAGAGGGAGTGACCTCGTATATGTCAATGTTTGTGGATGATGCAAAATTAGTGAAGAAGGTAAGAGCTGAAGAGGACTGTAAGGTGCTGCAAGTAAACCTTTACAAACTTCAGGAGTGGGCAGAGTAATATTAAGGAATAGTGGCAGTATTGCCAATATATTCCAAGGTTGTTGGAATTCAGTCCCAATAAGTGTACAGTAATGAAACTGGGTAAGGGAGATAGAAGATCTGTATTTAACTGCACCATAAGGGAAAAGGGTGCAGTTAATATTATACCCAATATTAACTTGGACCCTCATTAACTTGGACCCAGGGGTCCAATGGGGGGTTGTGTCCCTCCCATTCCCCTTCATCAAACACAACTGTCCCTTGCCTTTCAGGAATATGTTCATCATCATTGATCATATTAAAATGTTTTTATCACTTCTCCACACTTGCATGCAAAAAAATTGTCTTTACTGTTGCCCTTCCAGTCTTTATCATCACTACCTAATCCATCTTTTCATTTGTTGTGTATGTAATCTTTTGTTCATTGTCTATAACATCCACCATCATCCCACACAAACAATTAGAAAAAAAAGAACTAGGCATAGACATAACTCCTCCACTAACACCAGAAGCTCAGGTAAACAGAGTAGCATCAGCAGAATATGTTTAGATAGCAAACATAGGAACATCATTTAATGATCTAAGTAAAGACAGTTTCAAGTTTGTACATACTGCCTATGTAAGGTCATTTACTTGAGAATACAGCACCAACATGGGACCTGCACCTTGTGAAGTACAAAAAGAAACTTGAGAAGGGTCAGAGGTTTGCAGTTACTAATAGGTAAGCAGTAATAGGTAAGCATACAATCTAGTTAAGCACCCAGTGCCCTATTAATTTGTTTTGCAATATTCTCCTTATACCAGCACTAGTTCCTGATACCTCATACAAAGCATTGCATCTACCAGAACTTAATGTAAAATACTTATTGCCACACACTTTATTGCCACACACTTTATTGCACAGTGCTTAATATGTGTTGCCACACACATTGGCCAGCAGCCAGTGTCTAACACCACTCTCCACTGCTCAGCACCCTCACCGTGGACGCACACAACAGTGAAGGGGACCAAGTGCATGGCCCAGCACAGCTCGCAGCATGAATGGTTTTGGCCCTCTGGAGACCACAAGTGCCAGAGTGCTCCTGCTGGAAGTTCTCTTGAGAGCAGTCACCATAACATCTCTATCCGTCACATCATCTTTGCTTTCCAGGTATTGTACTGCCATTCCCTACCCAATCTATAGGAGTTGACAAACTATATTTTGTAAGCAAGAAGGTTTTTTCAGATTGATTGATTTTCCACTGTTTTTAGCTGATTTTCTGTGTGTAAATTGAATTTTATCTGCAATGATAGCATTTTTTTCCCCATTTCTCTCACATCTGTGGTCTGTGATCATCCATACCTTCCAGCTCCAGTGTATAATTGTTCCTTTTTTGCTGCTGCTCTTACACTTCATCATACACATCTTCTTAACATCTTTCATATCCGTCACCTGTGGGCATCATTCCCCCTCACCTGTGGGCATCATTCCCCCTCACCTGTGGGCATCATTCCCCTCACCTGTGGGCATCATTCCCCTCACCTGTGGGCATCATTCCCCTCACCTGTGGGCATCATTCCCCTCACCTGTGGGCATCATTCCCCTCACCTGTGGGCATCATTCCCCTCACCTGTGGGCATCATTCCCCTCACCTGTGGGCATCATCCCCCTCACCTGTGGGCATCATTAACCTCACCTGTGGGCATCATTCCCCTCACCTGTGGGCATCATTCCCCTCACCTGTGGGCATCATTCCCCTCACCTGTGGGCATCATTCCCCTCACCTGTGGGCATCATTCCCCTCACCTGTGGGCATCATTCCCCTCACCTGTGGGCATCATCCCCCTCACCTGTGGGCATCATCCCCCTCACCTGTGGGCATCATTCCCCTCACCTGTGGGCATCATTCCCCTCACCTGTGGGCATCATTCCCCTCACCTGTGGGCATCATTCCCCTCACCTGTGGGCATCATTCCCCTCACCTGTGGGCATCATTCCCCTCACCTGTGGGCATCATTCCCCTCACCTGAGGGCATCATCCCCCTCACCTGTGGGCATCATCCCCCTCACCTGTGGGCATCATTCCCCTCACCTGAGGGCATCATTCCCCTCACCTGTGGGCATCATTCCCCTCACCTGTGGGCATCATTCCCCTCACCTGTGGGCATCATTCCCCTCACCTGTGGGCATCATCCCCCTCACCTGTGGGCATCATTCCCCTCACCTGTGGGCATCATTCCCCTCACTTGTGGGCATCATCCCCCTCACTTGTGGGCATCATCCCCCTCACCTGTGGGCATCATTAACCTCACCTGTGGGCATCATTTCCCTCAACTGTGGGCATCATTCCCCTCAACTATCAGTCCTCCTCAACCATCTGCATCATTCCCGTCAACAGTCTATATCATCCTAACACCTGTCTGCATTATCCTCACACCTGTCTTCATCCACACTTCATTGATCTACATAATCCCTCTTACATATCTGTATCAGCCTTACACCTGTTTGCTGTCATAATTCCCATCTTCATGTCAATACTACCTTCTTCTCTCTCTCCCTATTCTATCACTCTCCTAGCACCCTGCATTTCCACATATGCCATGTTCAGTGTTTTCAAACACCCTCTCTCCTCAACACCCCCACCCCCACTCTCCATGCATGCTATTTGTATCCCCCCCCACCCCTCTTCATCAAACAAACACAACTTTCCCTTGCCTTTCAGGGATATGTTCATCATAATTAATCATATTAAAATGTTTTTATCACTTCTCCACACTTGCATGTAAAAAAAGGTGTCATCTTTACTGTTGGCCTTCCATTCTTTATCATCACTCTACTTAATCCATCTTTTCATTTGTTGTGTATGTAATCTTTTGTTCATTGGACATAACATTCTCCTCTGCTTACAGTGAATTTTCCCTCAACCCATGGCAGTCTTATTCTGTAGTATGCCTTATTGGTCTTCTCCTAACACATCATTCACCATCTTCAGTAGACTTTGGTTTCTTCCACTTATGTTATTACTCTTCCCCATAAATATAATTTGCCTTTGACAATCAAATTATTTACATTTCAACCTAAGATTTACCTCCATTAACTGTAAAGGTTGCCTACCTACTTTGTCAATATTTGTCTTGATGTTTGTCATCACTCAGTTCTATCAATGTTTCTTCTGTATTTTCCTATTTCCTATTCATTTAGTCCTGATACCTTGTATTGGATGGTAGAGTGTCGATCTCATCTCATGCAGGTCGGCGTTCAATCCCCGACCATCCAAGTGGTGTCCAATCACTTGGACGATCAGGGTGTGGACACCATTTTTTTGGTGTCCAAAAAAATATATTTTGGACACCAAAAAATTGTCTTTTCCTGGTAAACTTTCATACCAGGAAAGATTGAGGGCTTCAATACTAACAACAAAGTACCACTAAGATTAAAAACTTTTATGGTTACAAAGATCTCACATCTACTTCCTCTGGCCTTCAGTAAACAGACACTATCTTGGAAAAAATCGTGGCCACCCCTCTTGTGAGGGCTTCAGTACCTAGAGACTGGCCATGAGTAGTGCATGTAGCAGCAGCTTGCAGCACAGCCATGCAATTACTTAGTGATGATAGTGTCATAGAAGATCCTAGCTGTGATAAAAACTACATACCTGGTTCAGATACTAGTGAACCAAATGCTATGTTCACAGCACGAGGCAGACATCCAGAGCACACAGACTTAGTTTGGTGCATTTACGCATTACAAAATGGGACCTCGTATTCCTTTAAAAAGTAAGCTTGTGGAAAATTTTTCCTATTAAGGATTTAGTGACTAACATTTTGATGATAATAGCAGTGATGTGACTAGAGTTAGCTGTGTGCATAGTATATTAGGAGGCATTTTGCTGTCAGGTTGTCGGCAACTGACTAACGTATGGCACTGTGCTGTGTTTGGATTACAAGATTACCACACCCTCCAGAACTGCTTAGTGGTTCTTTATGGTGCATATAAATGTAGTTATATAATGTATATAAAGAATGTAATAACAGCAAAAACATTATTTTACTGTTCAAAGAAAATAATATTGTGTGTATATTCATGACAAAGATATATCTGTGCATACTTATATTCTACATGTTTTGCAATGCAAATACTGTACCGTTATTGACAGCCCAGTGTATCATTGCACTTTAAAAAACATGATAAAAAATTAAAACTATGGGCAAAATATAATGTATTTTATGTGGGAAGTTACAACTTTGTACAAAGTTGCGGGGCTAAGTTGAGCTCTGATCACTGGTTACGAGATTATTTGTATTACATTCACTAGAACTGCTTGCATTATCCTCACACCAGTGAACATTATGAACATCATGCACCAATGGTTCATATTGGTGCATAAAAACAGTTACAGTATAAATAACATTTATATACCGTGTAATAACAGGAAAAACAATGTTTTATTGTTTAAAGAATGTAATATTGTGTGCATATTAGTGACACAAATATATCTGTGTACCTATGTTCTATACGTTCTGTGATGTAAATAAAAAGTTTGGCAACACAAGATATTATTGCACTTGAGAAAAACCATGGTATAAGCATTAAAAATTATGAATATAACATATGCAGTACAATTCGTTCAGTTACAACTTCATGCCAACCATGCAGGGCTTGACAGAACTCTTATAATTAGTTACGAGATTATTACACCTCACAGAACTGCTGAGCGGTTCATAATGGTGCATTAAAATGTAGATAGTTTTACATAAAGTGTTTGTGGATTGTAATAATGGCAAAAAGAGTATGTTTTATTGTTCTAAGAATATAATATGGTGTGCATATTAGTGACATGAATATATTTGAGCACTCTGATGTTCCGCACACACATTATTATATAAATTTAAAAAAGACGCACTATTTAATAATAATATTGCAAAAAAAAAAAAACAGAAAAAATCTATTTCAGACATTGAAATATATATTTTACATATTTGGCTGGAGCTCCCATCTCATTCTTGGCCCAGGTGAACTTCAAAAGATGATCATTCAATTAACACTTGTCAATCATGATTTCCTTGCTCTACCACAACCAAAATAAGTCATAATTTTTTTCCCCGTGTTCAGGGAATGCATTCTAACAATATTAGAAAGGAAAAATTGGGGGGATTTTTATACTGTATTTTTTTTGCACATCAGGGTGTTGTCAGCTATGAACAGGTGCAGTGCAGTGCAGGGGTTAAAATACTGAACAAATTTAAATGTATTAATCAAGACTACTTATTGTAAAAGTCCATTGTAAATCTCACAAAATTTGGGTTGTTAAGTCTTTAAGCTTGACAACCAATAATGTTGAACAGAAAGCAGGAGATGCCTTTTCACCTATGGAATTGCCTACCTGCTAAAGCTACAAATGCTAAGACAGTACTCTAATCAAAAATGTAACTGGAAATAAATCCTCAGGAATAATTGTGGAACCTATTACAAGCATTTGGCTTCTTATTCTTGTTGAGGTGACAAGATCTGTATATTGTATGTACTCTGCATTGACTACAGAACTAAGTTAAACAAATATAAATTGAATTTTGGATAATATCAGTGGTCCCTGTGGATCATATTAAAAATTTCCAAAAACCTAATGTGTAGAATTAATTGCTTCTTTATATACTGTACTGGTAACTAGAAAATCCATTCTTGAATAACAAATAGAAAAACATGCAGGTTTTATAATCAAAACACTCATACATATTTTGAATCATAGAATATGTGTAACATAGTAACATTCAATATTACTAGTTTAGAGAAATGCATACTGTACCTGTGTTCTGGTAAGGTGGATATCGGTGTTGACTTTCCTCATTGTTACTCAGTATCCTTATTGTTACTATGCCTGAGGAATTTATCAATCAATTTCCTCCCAGGTGTGCTTGCATGCATCTTAACTGATATGTTTATTAAAACTTATGTTCCTCACATTATCAGTACTGTACCCATTCCCTTGTGTCAGGCTGCTAGGTTTGCTTTCATCCAGTCAAGAATGTGCTCACATACTTCATTCATCCAATCTGTTACCTTTGTCTATTAGTAGTTTTTCTATTATTCCATCAGTTATTAGAACCTTTTCTTAATTCAGTGTAATTAATGCTTCTATTATCATCTTTTGATATTGTTTACTATTTAAGAACCTATTTAACATCACTAAATATTCCTCTACAGGAGGCTGCTTCCTGCTTCTTATCATAGGATGACATTAAAAAACACTTTCATCCCCTTTTTATAAGGGAGATTTCTGCTTTCATCTGTCTTTTATCACTACAATACACAAGTTGTACTATTCCTTTCCAGTATTTTCTTTATGCTTGTAAATTTTGTTCAGCCATCATTATACATATATTATTTTATACCCCATCAGTCTTCACCTATATATTCCTTGGCAAAGGTTACATATATTATTTATACTGTATTCCACAATATAATGCTGTTCATTCATCCATTTTTTCCCTCAAATACTTCTACTGTTCATCTGACTGTGTTAATTCACATTGCAAAAATAACCACTTGCTTCCCATATCCTCATCAGTGTAAGCAATGCATAGTAGTTTCAGTTCATTAGTTTTCCTTTTCTGTCTTGGAATATACTGCTCCCTCTCTCATTTTCAATAAGCTATTATATAAACAGTGTATGTATCAGATAAAAATTAAACATTTTATAAATGTGATTGGCATTTCATTTATATTTGTTAGCTTGGATGAGGAGTGGTTTTTACAGGATGGGGTTTGGGGGGGGGGAGTCAGTATAGGTAGTGAGCTGGTGTCCCCCTACAGTTCCCTCCTACAAAACATGGAGCATCCAGGTGGCAGCAGCGGCTAGCAGGGCTGTTGCGCCTTCGTCTGCTACATGAAGGAGGTCAGTGTCAACTCTCCCGATGTGTCATGAAACTCGTTTTGGTGTTGATTTCTCAAAAGCCTGCACGTTTTTTTATGACTTTTCTAAGAAAACAAAGGCATGGTCACCAGCTAAATTTTGTGATTAGAAACCGGGTCAAGGTGACTTGACCAATCTTCCATTCTCACAGGTGTTTAGTTACTCCTTTATTGTATTGACACCATACTTTTTCTGGAGTTTGTGTATTATTTTATCTCGTGCTCTTTTGTGTTGCATGATCTGTATTACTTAATATTGCTTGTAAGAATACTGAATCTTTTGGAATTTGGATATACAGTACATTATTTGGTGAACACTCATACAAGTGACATGCATTATGTATAAAGCATGAATACTCTATTCAGAAATGAAGTTAATAAAAAGGCATTTTAATAAAATAAAGTAATTAATGCTCACATGCAAGTATATTTATTCCTTGTTATTATAATTATTATCCAGAAATAATGTTATGGCATACAGCACTTAAACATGCTCTACAGATTTAATTTTGCATTTGTCCCCAAGTCACGAAGTCATTGATCTTAATATAACAAAAGTTTGTCAGTGCCCTGGAGCCTAGATATAACAGCCTGCTGCATATTACATATGACTTTAGGGGGGACCAAGTGAAGGCCATGGAGTGGGTGGTCAAGCATCCTCCACCCTTAATGTTATGAATTGGTGGTCAATTTGAACCAATTTTGTGTCTTTTGCATGAAGATGTGTGATGTTCATTACCTATTCAAAACCTGTCAGAATAACAGATTGTTGAGTTTAAATGGTCTGCTACCTTTATTTAAATGTCCTCATAATTTACAAATAATAGATGTGTTCATGGCCCTACTTTCAGGTACAGTACAATTATTACATACTGTATGTAGGGAATAAGTGAGAATAGTACTGTGGTATATTTCAAGAAGAATCTATAATCTAATGAAAAGTTATATACAGTAGTTTTTCTTCAGTTTGTTAAAAGGCAAGAAATAGTTTATAGGCAGAGAAAATAGTTTATAGGTACAGTACAGTACATCAATATTAATCCTTTTGTTGAAGCACTTTTGTTGCAGCCCCATACTTGGGTCAAAATGTATTTTATTGCATTTGGATTTGCATCTGTTGCAAGAATTGTGACCTGCTCTTTCAGTGGTACTATTTAAACAAAATTCTGGATGGGCTACATCCTGGATAGCTCTACCCAATTTGAATCACACCAAGCGCTTGCTAGTCTTAACACTCAGTGTGTTGTTATCGTCATAGGTTGATTCATGAGATAATGCAGTTATCATAAATTGATTTAAGCTATTATTACCCGAGTTTTATACCAATGATGTTAAGTTAATATGGATGTAATCTATACTATAAGAGAGATTGTCTTGATTCTGTCTGCCTGTTTGTCTGTGCAAAGTTTTAGGCCAGATTCTTGGGACTACCCATACTACCCTTGGGATCACCCAAACTTGTAGGGGGAATGGTCTGGGGTACAGGATGGATGTAAGCTTGTCAGGAAAAGGCCTAAGTTAAATTCTTTAAAAAAATATTAAGATTTTTAGATACCCCACCCCATGTGATTTTCATGGAGTCAAGTGTGAAATATTTGATGTGATTTCCATAGGGTTTTCTGGGGGGAGCCCCGTCGGCTCCCCGGAGCTTTACCGGCTGATATGCTAATGTCAGACTTTGGCATCAGTCATGTGTATGGAGTTCTAGGGCCTACCGGGGACCACGAGCCAGAACCTGGCCCCCTCAGAGAGGCAAGGGGAGCAATGGCCTATAGAAACCCCCGTGTGGTTGGAAGCATTCTATGTCTGCCATCGACCGGGTCAAGCATCCAGAAAGGTAAGCATTCCAAAACAAACCCCTATTCTGGTGAAAATTGCTACCTAAAGCCGAACTAGTGGATAGAACTCTTCAACAGAAAACAAGGAAACTAGCATGACGTCATACGTCACCGCGCCGCTGTCTGCGCAGCTCCCCCCTCCCCGGGAGGGGGAAGGGGGAGCCCCAGACCTCCCACGCCGGCTATCCACCCATCAGTTCTTCGGCTGATGCTATAGGCAACGGTTATGTGCTCCGGCTCCAGTGGTTGTTTCAGCACTGTACCTAGAGTGTGGTGTCTGTTTTCTAGGTGGTGCGTGAGCCGGGAGTGATTCTTCAGTACTCGGGCTGCATGCGCCTAGGGTTCCCTTCCCTAGGTGCCCTGTAAGTACTGCCCTTGGGGCTTGGGGCCACCTTCCACAAGTTCCTTGGGTCCTGCCCCTGCTTGGCCGTTTACTGCTTGGTTTTCGGCCGCTCTTTGTGTGCTCGGGTGTTCTGTCTCCCTTGTTCGCCTTAGAGTAAGGGGCAGTTTTTGCACTGGTGGGGCGCAGGGTACTGTGCAGCTTGTCTTTACCAATCATAGCGGCCGGCTCTGTTCCGCTTGGGTACGCTGTCCTCTTGCGGGGTTTTCTTTTTCTTTTTGTTTATCTACCTGGTGGGGGGGTCTGCCTTCGTTCTTGCCCCTTGTGTCCCTTGTGTTCTGAGTATTTTCTGGTGGTACCCCTGCTAGGTCCCCATGATTGTACACGTCCCGGGGGGTTCAGCTCTTAGAAAGTTGTTTGGTAGCTTTGGGTGCCAGTTAGCAGTACCCTGCCTGGGATTACCTGAGCGCGAGTCCTCTTATAGTAAACGCTCGGGACCCTGGGAAACCCCTGGGGGCGCGCGGGTCCGATGGATGTGACCCCAGAGTCCCCCCCTCGCTTCCAGCGAGTTTGAGGGTTGCTCTCACCTTTTGTCTCTGGGTGACTCTCTGTTTTGCCTCCGTCTGCTGCCTGTGGGGTCGGTGACACCTTTGACCCGGAGTCCTGCGAGTTTGGTTGCTCGTTGTGGCTCAGTTACCCAGTTGTGCTAACAAAGAGGGTGCAGGCAGCAGGGGCGTTGCACTTGAGCCTTGGTGGTGGCAACGTTCTCGTGGTTTCCTCCCCGGGAGCCCCGGGGCTGCCCCGTTGTAGTTCGTTTTGGAACTTGGGGGTGTTGGTTGCTTCGGTTCCATCCGCGCCCCCTTGTCTTTTCCCTGGATCACCCTTCCTGCCTGCATCCGGTTCCTTACCGTCTGTAGGTTCGGGGTGGGGTTTTTGATGGTGTTGAGACTCGGGCAGTCTCGGGGAATTCCCCTTCCGGGGTAGTGACGGGGGCATTTGAGCCTGTTCCTCCAGCCGTGTTGTACGAGTCTGCCCGTGGGCTCCCTTCATTAGTGTTTTCACGGCTGCCCCGGTTTTCTGGTACGGCCGGGGCTTTGGGGGAACGGCTCGGCCCCGGGGCCTGTCGTGTAGGTTCCCGGGGCTGGGAGGGGGCTGACTTGGGGGGCCTTGGCCCCGTTGGACCCCATGGGGGTTTTTATCCCCCTCTAGGCGGGGCTTGTGGTTACGCAGAGTGGGTTTTTTTCCTCCCCACTCGCCATACGTGCTGTTGGGCGTCGGCCCCTCCCTGGGCTCGGTTCCTTGGCCTTTGAGTCGGTTGGTTCTGTCCTGTGGGTGGATGTTTCCTCCCACTCCTTTTTGGGACGGTATTTTCGTCATGTTTCCCTGTTCAATGGGGTTCTGCGTGACTTCTGATCTCGGGTGCGCCTGCGCCTTCGTGTGCCTTCGGGACTAGTGTTGGCTTCTGTGTTCTCGAGGGTACGGGAAGGTTTTTCGCAACTTCCCGCATTATTGGAACGTCTGTCGGCTCCTCCTACTTGTCGCCCTGTTGGGCTGCTTGTCGCCCTGTTGGGCTACTTGTCGCCCTGTTGGGCTGCTTGTCGCCCTGTTGGGCTGCTTGTCGCCCTGTTGGGCTGCTTGTCGCCCTGTTGGGCTGCTTGTCGCCCTGTTGGGCTGCTTGTCGCCCTGTTGGGCTGCTTGTCGCCCTGTTGGGCTGCTTGTCGCCCTGTTGGGCTGCTTGTCGCCCTGTTGGGCTGCTTGTCGCCCTGTTGGGCTGCTTGTCGCCCTGTTGGGCTGCTTGTCGCCCTGTTGGGCTGCTTGTCGCCCTGTTGGGCTGCTTGTCGCCCTGTTGGGCTGCTTGTCGCCCTGTTGGGCTGCTTGTCGCCCGGTTGGGCTACTTGTCGCCCGGTTTGGTTCCTTTTTGGGCTCTTTGCTTCTTTGGCCGGTTTTATTGTTCCTGCTTCCTCTTTTGGCTACTTTTCTCGTGCAGTAGTCCTGGCTGGCGCCTTCCCGCAGGGAGGGTGTGCGGTTCGGCCAGCGTGTTATGCGCATGCGCCGTGGAGTTTGTTTTGGTCTGGGCGGTGTTTCAGTGCTGGTGTTTTGCGCCCTTTTTGCTACAGTGCTTCGCCTCTCGTTCTTCTCCCTGGCTGCGGTATGTGCCCCTTCGCGCCGGGGGTGTCCTGGTTCCCAGTTGTGGGGAGGACACCGCGGTTTTCCCTGTGTCATGGGTGTGGACCGCCTCCTTCGCCTCTCCCTGCTCTCCTACGGATCCGGCAGGGTCCGGCTCTGGCGTCTTCACCTGGCGGTGCTCCCAGGTTCTTCTGGGCACGGTTGAGTCGTGTCAAGTTCGTGCCACCTTTCGCCAGGCGAGTTTCTGCGGTCTGGCGTCTTTTGGCCGGGCGCTATATGCGGTGTTGTTTATATACCTGTCTTTATTTAGGTATATTTTTGTACGACTGAGACCGTTCGCACACCTGTGACTGTCCCTTTTTTCAACCCTTCCTGTCCCCCTCATGTGCATGTCCAACCCATGCTGGAGTCATTCAGGGGACCCTCCTTTTTTAATGTTGTGCGGTGTGGGGGTTGTAGGGTTGGTTCTGTACTCACCTGGTAAGGCTCCTGGCTGTGCTTGCAGGATTTGAGCTCTGGCTCTTGGGTCCCGCCTATCTGGTAGAACTTGCGGGATAGTACCAGTGGAGTGCAGTGGTGCTATTGGCACATTTGGGGAACACTGTATTACCATCAGAGGTCTGTGCTTGTTACACGACCTACTTGCGAGCATAAGCCTTCTTGCTGGTTCGTCCGTGG